CAGAAGTATCTAACTCTTAATGGGATTCAAACCCATGCAACAGTCTGTCTTGCACTGATTAACAGTAAAAGTTTTTTTGATCAGTAGGAAAGGAACTTGCTTTAGCAAAAGTGCCTAAATCCTGATTGGATTCAAACTCATGAAGCATTTTATTGCATTGAGCAACACCCTATGAAAGTTCTTTGATCATTAGAAAAAAGAACCCTCTTAAGCAAAATTATGTAGCAACAGACTGTGATAGATATTTTCAGTAGAAAAGAAAATCACTTGGTCAGAAGTATCTAACTCTTAATGGGGCTCAAACCCATAAAATACTGTCTTGCACTGAGCAGCACACAGTGTGCTTTAATTAGCAAAGGTATTTAAATCTTAATGGGATTCAAACTCATGGAACACTGTCTTGCACAGAGCAGCAGGCATTAAGAGTTCTTTGATTAGTAGTATAGGAACTCACTTCAGCAAAAGTAACTAATCATAATGGGATACAAACTCATGAAACACTGTCTTACACTGAGCAACAAACAGTGATGATTCTTCTAAAGAAGAAAAGGAGCTAACTTTAGCAAAAGTGTCTAAATCTCTATGGGATTCAAACCCATGGAACACTGCCTTGCAATGAGCACCACTCACAGAAAGTTCTTTCATCAGTAAAAAAAATGAATTCACTTTAGCAGAAGTATCTAACTCTTAATGGGATTCAAACCCATGCAACACTGTCTTGCACTGAGCAACAGATACTAAAAGTTTTTTTGGTCAGTAGGAAAGGAACTTGCTTTAGCAAAAGTGCCTAAATCTTAATGGGATTCAAACCCATGAAACATTGTATTGCACTGAGCAACACACCATGAAAGTTCTTTGATCATCAGAAAAAACTTGCTTAAGCAAAATTATCTAACTCTTAATGGGATTCAAACCCATGAAACACTGTCTTGCACTGAGCAACAGACAGTGACAGTTCTTTTTAAAGTAGAAAAGGATCTTGCTTCTGCAAAGTGTCCAACTCTTAATGGGATTCAAACCCATGAAACACTGTCTTGTACAGGGTAACAGAGAGTGAAAGCACTTAAATGGAAAAAAATCTCTATAGTGTATGCCAAAAGCATTGAAACCCATCAAATTGGCATTTTAAAGACTAGAAGTACAACAGTTAAGCAAGAATTGCAACAAGGCATTTTGTACAATGACCCATTGTGCTTTTAAGTTCTTTTATAGAGGCTATGGTGTTTGCAGGATGGTCAATCAGAATTTCCTGGATAAGTCATCGGTTTACATCAAATTTGTGTTGCTGGCTGGGCCAACCATAAAAGAAGAACAAGTCTACAGCCTA